TGTCTAGCCAAATTTCATAATTAGCGTTACATGGTCTTCGGCGGCTACTGTAGGTAATCAATAATCCTGCTTCATTTGATTGGTGACAGCCGATTGATTACTCATTGCACAGTCTAAACTTGTCACATCCCGACTTTTGCACCTGCACGGCTGGCTATCGTACGCGGCGCCACTGTACAGCTTTTTGAGCATTAAAGTTGTTCGAGTTCAAGCAGTCTTCCCAGACTTGTTATCTGGGGATCCCTCTGGTGTTGAAAAGGCAACTAGCTCTCAATAAATCTATAAAACTGACTACTAGGCTCGCTTAATTGTTAGGGCAATCGTGTTACTTCCTGTCTTTTCGGATATAAAATTTGGGGAGGGGGCGAATATATCTGTTTTTATCTAAACAGTGACCAGTTATACGGGTTTACGGAACTGTACGATTAAAATTACACAAAAGGCTTCGCCTTCCAGAAGATTTGTACGATATTTAAATAGCACTATGATTAGTTCAGCGCAGTCCACAGTTCGCTCATCGTATGCTCCGAGGAACCTCATCTAGAGTGCTGACCTGCTTCCCAGCCCATTCTATTCCAAGAAAGGGGCATGCGGGCTTGCTGCATGTCTTCAGTTGCCTTTGAGTTGTAGCAGCCGTCGGATCACCTCCACTATCGCTGAAACACCCTTTTCTTAGCTGCCAAGCTGCGTGCTGCCGCGCGCATTCATGGCCAGCTCGCTGCAGGGCCCCGCGTGACTCATCGTGTTTTCGCCGGGAAGCCTTGCGGTCCTGCGTACTCGTAATCTACCCCGAACGCTCTTGTTTGATCTGTCGCGAATGCCGCCCACCAATCAGTGTGACCCATTTCCTGATTAGCTGCAGAACATGTCACGGGTTTCCTCTAATCCTATCCGCACAGGCGCACACATACACACATCAACTGAGCAGCTTGTTTCGGCACAGCCTTCTGTTAGCTCCTTTTCTACAGTAGCTTGTCCAAACTCATTAGGCATACCTGACTTCCGACTCTGGGGGCACCTACTGTCGTCGACGATCAATCCATTCGACAAGGTCTAGGTTGCTCGTTTAAGGGACCCAGGTAGTACAAAAAGCCGACAAGCAACTCACACCTTGTGAATTCTTTTTCAGCCACTCAGCACATTGCCCTCCCCTCCCCCCGCGCCCACCAACCATCCCTGTCTCGCGAAGACACACGACTATTCTTCGAGCCGCAAGGAAAGAGAGCGAACGAGAATGTCTTCTCAGGTCGCACGATAATTGCGCTCAAGGTATCCGCACCGATGCGCGCCAGCTCTTAGCTGATTGGTCAGACGGGAAAACCAATCCGTAGTCGATACGTCCAGGTGGGAATTCTGTCGTTGCGAACGCCCTGGGAGTGAGCGCAGCACCCAGAAATAGCGATTGAATTAGGTTAGAGTAGGACAGACCCACGCTGCACTTACATCGCTCCCTCCCCCCTTTCAGCCTTTGGTGGCAGCGCAATGTCTAGAAGTGGCTCTAGGTGGACTCAGAGTCAGTCACGGACACGACAAGACAGGTCATCTGCACGGACAACACACGACCTGACCTCCCTGCGGACATGTACCTGGCTTTCACAACATATGCACGATCCGAACAAAGAAGGATCAACTGAGCCTGTCCCTCAGCCGCACGTTTACACACATGAGGCCCACCTATCCCGTCAAGTGGCAACCTGTCAAGTCACGAATGTTTGCGCATTGTTATCATGTCAAAGCGCATCAGTTTTATCATGATGAGAACTACGCCAGTGTGTTGCGTTGGGAAGAATTGCCCGATCTCCATCTCGCTCCCTTTTCCTTGCACCTGCCCTGGATCTCAAAGTAGTCCCTATCACTACCAGTCGCTTAGACTGACATAGGCCAAGCACGATAGTCTGGACGAAGGCTAATTTATCGAGAGGTATGAAGGCTAAGAAGGGTTACCCTAACACATGCGATCTTCCAGGCCCGGTTTCGTAGGAGAGGAGGTAAGTCATGGGAAAGCCAGATTGATAGGAAGAGTGTATTCTGTACAGAAGGACTGTATAACAGTTGGGAGGAAGTTTCGACTGTCGAGGCGCATTTCCAGCCGCGAGGGGGGGGAGACTAGATCCGAAGTGATTTCTGGCCGCAGTCATCACACTGACGTCTGTGTCCAGACGGATTGAAGCTAACCTACAAAATGAGGCTAATCTACTAATGCGGGAAGCTCACTGGGCAGATTAAGGTCAAGCCACCGTGGATTGAGGCCAAAACGGGGAGGCAAATTACACACGTTTGCGCCTGGCCCGATGCACGCCGAAAACTGCCTTCGCGCGAGGTCCTTTGCTCTGACTAACCTCGTCTGTGGCGTCACGAGCTAGAAGGGCGTCGGGCTGTAGAGACACCACAAAATCGCATAATTCCTATTGATTTCGCTGAAAATTGGCTTCAGGCGCCAATCAGCGGTTCGATTCGGTCGCCCCATTAATTTGAACGCCTCATTTCGCAGGGCCTGTCTAACGAGTAATGTTGGTTATTTTTCTTTAGGAGGGCTGACGGCCACATTACCTGCAAGCCACAAAGCCTGGCGAATAGGTCACCTCCACGAGCTCGGCAAACAGCTTTATTGACCACAGTTTCGGTAAATTTGAGATAATTATGTAAACGTGCCTGTCTGCGGCAGCGAACCAAACATATTTAAAAGGAGAATATAGGTAATAATGAAGAGGAGGAGAAGCAAGAGGGGGGAGTGATTACGCTGTTGCTGTGTATGATGGTGATGATTATTATTATCATTATCGTAGAGAAGGAGGGAGATGAAAGATTTACTAACGTAAAAAGCCTACAAAAGCTTCTCGGGAAGTGCGTTGTTGACATCAATAAGCAGTTTACTAGCAATGTTTTCAGACTTTTCATACACACTGATATGGAGGACAGCAGTGTGTGAGATGACAGGTATTATTGTCAGCGAAGACAGGGGAGACTGGAATGGCCATTTCTGGCTTATTAGCCGTCGTCCGCCAGTTATGCCCAGACGCAAGTGGCATCCCACCCGAGCCTCGAACTCGCGACCTTTTTGATCCGAGTCAAGCGCCCTAACCACTGAGCCACGAGCTCGTTGACTCGCTGGTTAAGGTCAGGGCATATTGCCTACTCATACCAGCTTTTACGGCTGACTTGGCCTTTGTCGAGGCCTAACGCAGAGCAGGACAGATGAGTTCCGTTAGCGGTTAGGTGAGCGTATATCAGAGAGTGCGTGAGATGTTCTCTCCGTCCACCCCCCCTAGTAACCGCTTTGGTTGGTGGCCGAAACCCGACCACGGTTAGTCGACGCATCACATCAGCGCTAGTGAATTTGCCTAGTTTGAGCCGAGTTCCGTCATATGACCCTGACGAGACATTCTAGGGTCTTCGTAGATGGAGGAGAGAAAGGGAACTTTAGTTTAGGTTGGCCTCGGCGTCCACTGGCAGCCCCAGTCATCGAAATCGTGTCATGTCGCCCAAACCAGTCTTCCTCGCTAAACTTCGGCGCCAAACCGAGTTATCAAAGTTTTGCTAACGTAAAAAGCGAGGGAGGAACACTTAAGGTGCGGGAATTATCTACCGCCCCACATAAACTTGTTGCTATTTATTCATTAATTTATTATTTTATTTATTTTGCAACAGTAACTTAAGTAGTGCGCCTCATATACACCTACTCCCAGTATTTTATTTTACGGAAACGGTGGTTATAAGGGATTTATGGGTGGGGAATTAGGATAGGCAGTGGACTATACTTTACTAACTGCTATATGCAGTTCTATTTCACTGTATTTAGAAAGGTCGTTGATTTATATCTCAGCTTAACCCAATCTGTATTATCATTTAACGTAGTACAGAAAAACTCGATTACAAAAATGCAGGTTTCTCGAAATAAACATGGTGGTTAGGAGGTCGTCCACTTCCACTTACCTGAGGTCCGACTTACCGTTCTGGAGGTAGATTAGTATAGTCCGCGGCGCGAAGCGCCGCGCATACCTTCAATGTATATGCGCAACAACTTCATCCCAGCTGCCGCGGGAAACACTTTACACCTACTTCTGAAAATTCCCTTTACTGTCTGTCATATTTCCCCACCCCCAATTCCCCTATAACCACCATTTCCGTAAGAAAAAATGTTGGAACTAAGGGTATATAAGGTGTACTACTTGAACTACCTTTGCCTTTTATTTATTGAATATGGTACTTACTATTTAAATTTATTTTTCAATTGTCACACACTTTTTCGTGGCTATCTTCTAGATTTTTATAATAATGATATCTTCTATTTCCCCTTTTTGTTTACTATATTACTTTTAGCTTCTCTTCCGTGCCCCCGTAATGCGTCAGCCGCATTGGTGATTGGTGAAGATTGCTAATCCGCAAATGGCGTCAAGGCCACTATATTCATTTTCCGCT